TACATGATAATGTGCATAAAATTGTAGATGTCTTGCTGGAGTTTCTCTCTCCCTTTGAAGAAAAGCAAGCTGCCATGTTATGGTCTGTCTATGTTGCTTAGGCCCATTTGGCAAGGAAATGAAGTGATATTTATGAGCTGAGGGCGGCCTCTAACCAACAGTTGGCAAGAAACTGAAGTCCTCCATCCCACAGCCACAAAGAGCTTAACTCTGCCAACAAAGCAGATCCTTCACTGGTTACGCCACATATGAGACTACAGTCACAGCCAACATCTTGACTGCAGTATTTTAAGACTTAAGCAAAAGGCTCAGGTAAGCCGCCTAGACTCTTGATCCACAGAAACTTTGAAATAATGTGTGTTGTTTTAAGCCACTATGTTGGTTATGCAGCCATAGAAAACTACTTTGCATGGCTCTGCCCTGAGGGAGGGCCTCAATCATGGAGCAGTACAGAGGCACAGAGAGTTAAACGGGAGAAAACTCCACAGCCTGGCCGTGGGACGAGGAAGTGCAGTCCATGAAATTCAGACTGTATAGGCAGAAATCCCAGAGGGGGCAGAGCTAGAGAATGGGATATCTGTGTATGAATCTGTACAAATTTCAGTGAAATCAAAGCTTCGTATACATGAAACTGACCTAAATGAAAGCAGCAAAGGTTTAGAGACCTAAACTGAGATATGAACCATCTGCACAAGTCTCAAACTCCTATACTATTCATGCACAAATACACCCAAAACCAACATACGAAAGGTTGAAAGAACTGAATTGAGATTTGAACCATTATCCAAAGAAGGCAAAACACAACTTAAGACCAGAACCTAACCAGGTCATGAGCTAAGACAAAATATCAACATTTTCCAGAGGATAACAGGATCCAGAGACTATACAACGTAATATTCATAATGTACAGAATACAATGCAAAATTACTTGATGTGAAAAAAAAAACAGGAAAATATAACCAATTCTCAAGAGAAGAGATCATCGACATATGTCAATAATCAGATCGCCTAGATGTTAAAACTATCAGGAAGACACTGTAACCTATGTTACATGAGATAAAGGGAAATACACTGAAAGTTACTAAAAAGGTCAGAATTTTCAGCAGAGAAATGGAAACTATAAAAAGAAGGTCAATAGGAATTTTACACCTGAAAAACAATATCTGAAACAAAAAACTCCTAGTATGGGCTCAGTAATGTGGAAATGATAGAGGAAAGAGTAAACTTGAACACAAATTAATAGAAATTATCCAATCTGAAGACAGAGAGAAAAAACATTGATAAAAAGAAAAAATGAGGGCCGGCCGAGTGGCGCTATGGTTAAGAACTCGCTTGGGATGCCAGAGGGCCCCGGTTCGGATCCCACATATGAGGGCCAGTGACACT